ATCTCTGGCATTTGTGGCTGTTGCTTTGGCATTTGCGCACATGCATACAAAAACGCCGAATAACAGCCATATAGTATATGTATTTTGTATGTAGGTATATATATATATGTGCATACATTTTTTATGCTGCCTTTCGCTCCATGCAAAAAAAAAATCCGTTCTACTTCAACAAGCGAGTTATAAAATTTGATAGATTTTATAATTTCAAACCAAATATCGCGGATCAATTAATTTTGCGTCATTCTTGCGGTTACACCATATTAAAAAAAAATTAAAAAACTAATAAAATTTTTCCGCTTAAAAAATTCTATATAGTCTGGAAAATATTTGCAGCGCTTCCCTACTATGGAATTCAAATTACTTAAGAAGTTAGAGTAGTTAGAAGTGAGAGTGGCAATTTTCTCGAAACTACTTTTTCGAACTGGTTTACGCGATATAAAAATTGCAAAAATTTTTTGAATGTGGTGAATTTTCGCGAATTTTGCACAAAGTTTTAAACTTTGTTTAAAAATTTTGTTGCAGATCTCTAAAATTTACAGTCGGCTATCACGAAGTGTGAATATTTGTTTGAAAAAAAAATTCAGTTAAAACCCCTTCGCTAAAAAGCAATTTTCAGAAGAATTTTCAACGCTCTCTAGCTTCTGAATGACATCAAATCATAATATTTTGGAGGTAGCCATAAACACATAAACTGATTTTCTTAAGAATTAACAACTTTTTTTGTGAGCCGTCTTAATGCACATACATAAATATGTGCAATGTTGCTTCGAAAAAAATGATTTCTGCATTTTGTAACGGTGTAGAATGTACATACATATTTTCTGCTTTGTATGTATACATTAGGGTGCATCTCTCTCCATCAAAAAGAAAAATAAATAGTCGGTACTGTCTTTCCATGGGATTATAAAACTGATTATATATTAGGACCTCCGCCAAAAATACTTTCGAATAATATTAAGATTTACGTTAGCTAGACACATTAATTTTAATTTCCTGCAAAAATTTTATTTTTTTTATAAATAAAAAGAATTAAATTTTTTTTTAAATCCTCTCAGATGATAGAAGGGTTAAAGCTTAAAAGGTTCACATAAAAATCTATAAACATTTTATCAACGGGATCAAAATAGTGAAATTTTTGTGGCTATTTTCAAATCGGTCCAACTAACGTAAATCTTAAAATGTTCCCAAAATATTTTGCGGAAGTCTTAAAATATAATAAATTTTATATTTTCGGTGGAAAAACAGCAACATTTTTTTTTGTTGATGCACCCTAGTATAAACAGCATCAAAACTTATTTGTGTGTACATATGCATAATATTACATCTGTACCTTTGTGTACCATGTAGCATGTTTTTTCCTTCTTCTTACATTGCAATTGCGTAGTTACTATTTAGTTGTGTGGTTTTTGCCATTTTGGGTAGCGTTTGCAATTTATTGCAACATTTCACTGTACAAGTAAATTGCTTTCACTTCAACATGCCACAAGGTTTGCTAACAGCACTTACATACATATTTATTTATTAAATGAGAAAAAAGCAGCGTGTAACTGCACTTAAATTTTACTCGATTAAAAATTTGTGTATTTGAAAGAAAAATAAAATAGTTGTCACAAAGGTGTACATATGTATCAAGCGAGCTGGCGTGTGTGATTTACTCACAATCATCAACAGCATCATGATCGCCATCATCCACATCAGCAACTTAATGGGTGGTTGTCATATCTGCCCGTAACTACAAATAAATTGGCTACCGCTCGAGTATTCAGAGTATTCACCTGGTGCTGGTTGCGCCTGCATCGTGCCTGCTGACTGGCATTTGGCATTGCTTGCTTTGGTGTCTGACGACTGGTGCCTGGTGCCTGGTACCTGCTGCCGACGGTACACTTACGCGCTGCCTCACACCTCAGACCTCAACATTATTATTTTCACAAAATTATGGGAATTTTTCTACTGATTGCAATTTATTTCGCTTTCGTTTTCATCTTTTCCATTATATTTTCAATTTTCCACTTTAACCACATTACAGCGCATTGAAATTAGCAACGCGAATTATTTTCTAGTTTAACCAGCTAGTTTGTACTAGTTTTGTGGCGCGTTTAATTCAAATTGCATAGACGCTATTGCGCAGTTTACATGGGTGGGACTTTATGTTTTATGTGGGCATTTGATACAATTTATTAAAATTTAGAAATCTTTGTGTGGCTGACTTCGCATTGGTAAATTTATGAAGTGGGAAAATGTTGTTTTATTTTTGATTTTCATGTTCCCAATAAGAAATCAAGCAGTCAAGCGTGCTTACATATGTATGCATGAGCAGTTATAGCAAGAAAAAAACAGGAAAAAAGCTCGCTCTTGGACTGCATTTCTGTGATAAAAAAGACAACACGTAAAAATGGCACCTCGCACGAAAAACTGGCTTAAAGTATGTAATAGATTTTTCCATCATAGCAATTCGTCTAATCTTAGAAGACTTTTTGAAGTTGGGAAGTGTATATGCTTAACCTTTGGCCACATTGAATCGATACCCTTATTTCGTGTTTTTGAAACAGACTCAGATTCAAGAAATAACAGAGAGCAAAAGCGACGGAGATTATTTGACCAGATTCCGATACATATATCCTTAGTATATTTTTAGCCAAGTTAATAAGAAGCCTATACCTTGTACCTCCTCAGTCTGCTTTTAGCTTGGTAAAATGCTATGATGCTTCGCCAGTGTTGTTCTATCACTTCTATTATCTACAGTGGCGGTCAAAAATTGATGAATGGCAACAATGTCTTTCAAGCTAACAATAATTTTTTTTTAGATTTTTTTTTTATAAAAAATGTATCATGCTTTAACAAAAACTGCAAAAATCACACTTTCAAACTTTATACAGAACTTAGAAAAATTCCACAAATTTGTATCTAAATTTCGAGCTTTTTAACGAGAACTTTTAGAAATTTTGCAGTTAACAAACTTATAAAATTCTAGTAAAATAAGTGCCAGTTTTGAGCGGCTAAAAAATCGCATTGGTTTTTAATAATTTTTTATAGTTGACAGCGTTTTGCACTTTTTTCCATATAAACATGAATCTTTTGTGAAAGAATATGCGCAAGACCCTTTGCGAAAAAAAAAAAATTAGAAAAAGTCAACGCCAGTTTTCCCAAAATTCGCTTTTTATATGAAAAAAAAAAAAATAAAATTAAAAATCAATGCGATTTTTTAGCCGCTTAAAACTTGAATATTAGAAAGCTATATAAAATTTATCAACTAAGCCAAGCGGCAATCAAAAATGTGGAGTTGTGGCATAAATCTGGAGCACCAGGAGTGGATCAAGTAGTGGCGCCATTTTCTTCTGTCAACTGACACGGTGGGATAAATTGCCGGCGTATGCTTGAAGCAATTTTGTTGCTTACGATTTTAATTAAGTTTTATGCAAGCAAATTGGCGGTACAGTAATTTAAGTGCAACGAAAGATTTTTGCTTTATAGACTTTCAAATATGTATAGCATCGGGGCGTTTTGCAAGGAAAAAAATTATAAATTAGTTTAATGTACATATACGTAAATAAACATGTGTGCATTTGTATGGCATGTTTAGCATTCCTTGCCTATAAAGTAAAATTGAAATTGAAAATGAAATTCATCTTTATTTAGTTTTTATATGCATATATCGCTTTTAGAAATATATGTATGTATGTATGTATAAAGTGTATAAATAATAAAAAAACAAATCACTCTATTCTAGGCAATGTGATGAGCTTTATTCTTTTCAATGCACATTTTAATATTCAATTCGTGTTTGGAAGATTTGCAATTAACAATTAGATAGCTAATTGAATTTTTCTATACATTTAAATTTTTCATTGAGATAAGTGAATAATACATATGTAAGTACATATGTGGTATTTCTAGAACGATAAATATTTGATTAGAAGTCACTAGCAGAGAATAGGCACGGAAAAAATTAATTAAAAATCTGATAATTATTTGCATTAAGTGATATACATATATATGTATACAGGATGTTGAAGATGCCTATATTCGTAGGTTTGACGATTTTTTTTATATAAATTAATTTGAGTTATTTTCTTTATAAAGACCATAGTTCTCGGCTATAATGGAGGCTGCAAACGGACTTCGTACTGTTTCAAAAGGTAAAGAGTGCTCATCTTTACTGACAGCCAGACAACAATTAAAGCTGTTAGTTCCATCACAATTAAGTCAGAAATTGTTCTGGACTACCGCCGATCTCTGCAAGAGATGGCTAAGCAGAACAGTCAAAACCTCATTTGCGGGTACGACCAAGCAGATTCTTCCGAGTAAAGAACGCATTGGTATGTCCTTCGCCGATTGCAAGCAGCTTTTAAGAGAATTTATCTATACTCGCACGAGCGAGAGATGGATGCAAACTACGACCAGTCGAATTTCTAGGCGAGCTTGGCCTAGGTGGGAACGAAAAAAGTCTCGAAGCTTATATTCTCTAAAGATGGAGGTTATATCTCACACAATTGGTGATCTTAGAAAGATTTGGAATATGCAATTCTGTAGTCCATTGAATTTTATTTACTAAAGTCGAATTGCAATCGCAACAAGTACGTATGTTCAAATAGTTTGGCTATAATATGATTGGAAGCCTAAAAATGCTGTTCCACTAAGTTACAAAAAAAAAATGTTGATCAACCTTGTTTTAAAGACAGCGCCGATTCCACGAAAAATACATCAGTTAGGGCCTTTCCATATTTGAGGCCATGACGGCCAGAGTAGCCTAACTAACATTTAAAAAAAGTTGAGATGCACCTTAAAGTACATTACTAGAATCGAAACGTTAATAACCTGAAGCACGTCCTTTTATTATCCTTTTAAAGACCGCATTTAATTTTTATAGATCCTTCTTTCTCATACTACTAAAATTTTTTTCTTTGTAGATAGGCTCCTCCGGCACTCATGGCCTCATTTCATTAACGATATCATGTTTAAATATACATATGTATGTATGTACGCATGTATGTAGTACTCACTTTGTTCACTTGCTGCAGCGTTTCCAACATCAATTCCTTCTCCAATACAGAGTCGAGAGCCTGCACCTGATCGCATGAGGCCTTGGCCTGCAAGTATGAAGAGGCCAAAATGAAAGCGCCCAATATGAACGAGGACACAATAATGGTGAATGCAGTGATTTTTGCAATTTTCACCGAATTCGATTGGCGCTTGTAAGCCTGAAAGATAAAGATTAAATGCAAATGTATAAAATTAATGAAAGGACTTGAAAGAGTGGAGAATGGGCAAATTATGTGAAAAGGATATGCAAATGCATAGTTGAAAGAAGCAAGCTATTGAAATATAAAAATACATATAAAATGTGATTCAGTTATAAACGCAATGAACTTCATTTTTATGGAGCTTTAACAAATTTTCTGGTTTTACTTTGGTGATTCTTCTACTAAAGCTACTCATATACCAGAAAAAATAAGTTGCATTTGCTTATAGATTTAGAAAGTTGATTGCAAGTTTGTATACGAGTATGTGTGTAAGAGATTTTAGGCTAAAAAGATAAAAGAAAAAATTCGAAAAACAGAATAGGAGAAAAAAAGCAACAAAGCTACTAATTAAATAAAAATAGTTGCTGCGTTTAAATATTAGCATTTAAAAATATATATGTACGTAAAGTTCTTTTCTTTACAGCACATTTTCAGCCATTTTTTCACCCATTTTATTAAGCAGTTTGTAAAAAGAAAATATGCAAACAATTTTCTGAATTTGACCCTCATTTGAGTGTCACATTTACTACATTTCAAGATCAATTTCTTTTTTTTACAGCATTTTGAAGTGCAAATTGGGTATTATTTTTATTTTGTTTGTCCATTGCAGCGACTTGCTGGCGACTGAGCGCAACTTGAAACCTGCACAATGCGACCGGCAAGCAAAAAAAAAAAAATTATAAAATAAAAATAAAAAAACTTCGGATTGTGAAAGACGCTGAAACAAAAGCGATGACAAGCACAAAATAAAGAAAAAAGACAATAACCATGAATAAGTGTAATTATACATACATACATATAAGTATGTATGAGAAAAAAATATATAATAAAACCTAAATAAAAACAACAAAAATAAAACGCTTCAAATGCAGCCCAGTAGGTGCCGTATGTTTACTACTATAAGGTTTCAAGTTCAAAAGTGAAATTTTTAGAAAGCTCGCGTCTCATTTATTTTCAACAGAATTGAAGGTGAGACTTTGTTGTGCATAAGTACTCGAATTAGTGGTGTTTCGTGGAAAAATGCGTAGCAAATGTCATTTCTCGGGAATGTACGAAGTAGGGAAATTTTTATTATTATTTTTTTATTGTTAAGCATTTTTGAATAGAGAAGGTGCTCTTACTGTGGAGATGTTACATTCTTATAAAACCTGAAATAAGCTGAAGCATAGAAAAAGTGTTTAGTGTACATTTCTTTCTCACTAATGAATTTACTAATTACAATTGTGTCGGGTATTTTAGTAATCAATTTAACTGATTTATGGGCAGAGCACAGAGTTTATTCCAAAGTCGTTAAAACGTAAAATACTAGCTCCACAAACTTTTCACATATTCTGGCTGGTGAAAGCGAAGAGCATATCGTCTGCTGAGTGGAAGATCGACCTATCTCGGGAGCCAGTTCGAAAATGCAATGAAACAATGCCTGTTCGAATTTATACGTAAAAATAGAACTCTTACAACATCGACATCGAGTGATTTTTGAATACTACTTGCACCCTTTTTCTCCGTAAAAAGCCCTACATGTTATTAATAGGAATGTCTAGAGTCTAGCCAACCACTTAGTTGACTATTTCGAGACATTTCGAAACTTGGGCTATCTGCCACTCTCATACCACTGTGCGTCGTTGCCTAATTAATTTTTAATTCATATAGATATTCACTTTCGACTTCACGCATTCAAGTGAATGTAAATACATTCACATATTCCTATTCACATGGGCAAATGTAGGATAATGCAATAAACTGGTAAGCGTGAGAGGAGATTATTGGTTTTTCAAAATTTCTTCGCATTGGTAATAGGCTCGCGATTGCACATCTAACGTAAATATTATTACATCTGTATGTACATACCCACAAATTGTAGGTGTACATATGTATGTTTATTTGCACATAAATACATATTTTGCTAGCGTGCGAAAAACTAATATCATCACTAAAATTTGCCTTTATTATTATCTCGGCTTGTTTGTTGCGTCATACAAAAATTTAGGATCGCTACATGCACGCATCGAATGGCTTGCGAAACGATGAGCATAAAAGGAGATGGCGCTACGTGCTAAACGCTTATTATTTAACAACCTGCTGTAATGTCTGCCAAAAGTGTCTACAACACAATGATATTACTATCAATTTTATCGTAACTACAATCATTTCCCACTTCTCCAAAACAAAAAAAAATAAATAAATAAATAAAAAAACAACGAAATGAAAAACAAACATGTTTCCAAATTCGAATTTAGCAATAGCTTTTTTAAGCTTCACTACGCAGTTGCCAAATTGCAAATAAAAGTGCATACACTGCCGGCAAAAAGTATTGGCACAGCAAAGTTTTCACAATATGTGCCACAATGTTTTTTTCTAATCATTTTCCGCCAATTTTTTATAAAAAAAAAGGTTCATTCTACAACAAAAAACATAAAAATATAGTTGTGCAAAACTCAATTCAGCAAATTTTCTTGCAAATTTTCAACTTTTTAGAAAAATTTGATTATAATAAAGTACAAGTTTTAGGTAGCTACGAATTACCGTTGATTTTTGGAAATCTTTTTTCACGCAGTAAAATTTTTTCATTCTTTAAATTTTTTCAACAAAAAAATTCTCAAAAAGCAATACGAATTTTGACTAACTCCGAACTTGTATTTTTAAAATTTTTAGAATTTAATGGGCTGCAAAACTGCATACTCAAAAAATTCCAAAAACTCTGATTAAAATTTGAAAATATGCATTAAAATTTGCTTAATTTTCGTGAGTTTTGCACAAAGTTTAGGAATTATATTTTTATGTTTTTTGTTGTAGAATGAACCATATTTTTATAAAAAATTGGCGGAAAAGTATTAGAAAAAAATTGTTGCATATATTGTGAAAAATTTGCTGTGCCAATACTTTTTGCCGGCAGTGTAAGTACATCTATCAATGCATTAACACTTGTGTACACAATCAGCCAACAGCCATCAGCAACTACTACCAGTCTACGCCCCCTCCTTCACTCATTCCAGATGCGTTCGATGATCAGCTAATGATTATTTCATAACTCCTTCTGGATAGTGCCAATACGAAAATGTTTACTTTACTATTATGGTGGCTAAAAGCATACATATGCACGCTGTATACATACAAACAACATACTACTATACATAAATATGTACGTATATATATACATTCATATGTATGTACATATGCAGCTAGGCGCGTTATGGTCGTTATGGCCTTTTTCGACACCACGCACCTAACGGGCAAGCGCTTGCTTACAAAATACTAATAGTCTACCACCCAGTGGGAAAAGTAGTAATGCATTACAAGCGTGATAGATAATGTAATATATTCCTTATAAGTTTTAGATTCATCTACTATTTAATATGTAATCAGCATTCATTCAATGTATCCAAAAAATTAAAAAAAAAAATGCATATTAAATGGCTTACGTTCCTTGATTACTAGGTAATGCTGAATTGAACGCCTTATTTTTTATAGCACATCGCCGTAGGGAAAAAATGCATTTTCGAATGTGAAAATGGCTGTTTTACTGATTTTTTTTTTATTGATTACCATACATTACATTTTCCCACTGGGCAGCTGCATTCTACTGTTATATAATCTTCATATAAGTCTGTATACGACTATATTACACTTACGCGTAGCCACTCTTAGCTTTTATTGCGTAATGCATTTGTCATACATATCATCACAAACATACTTCTTTAGTTTAGTGATTGTAGACTCTAGCTTACGTAAAGTGAATGGCATGCAGCTGCTGTCTGGCTGCTCTTCACTTAATCGAACGCGAGTGCGCATCCTCTTAAGTCGGATTTACTGACACCTCACGTGTTATACAGCGTGCATGCCAAACATATTGCTTAGTTAGCTATCAACCATTGATGCTGTTATTTCTTTTTTTTTTTTAATGTAAGACACTCCCTCACTTCTCGAGCTGTATATGTACAAGTCTTAAATTAGCATGCCGCACATTAAATTGGCATTTCGTAAAAAAAAACACTTAAAGCTACTACTTAAATGGGGAGCGTAATGCTAATAGCTAATGCGAAAATATGTACAAAAA